TTTCATTTATGTGTCTTCTTCGAACAGTTGCAGAGTCCACTGGTGGTTTGTTAGTGAAACACATGTCAAAAAATACACAGAAATGATCCGAAAGAGCAACATCGACCACGCTTATATTTGAAATATTCACCCCCTTTGTAACTAACAGGTATAGAGTGTGCCCTCTGCTGTGGGTGGGGCCACTCACATGCTGAGTGAGACCAAAGGTATCAAGTAAAGAACTCAGCTCTTTTGCATTTCTGTCATCAACATTATCCACATGAATATTAAAATCACCTGTAATAACTAAACTATCAAAATCTGTGCATACAACAGAAAGCAACTCGGTAAAATTATCAATAAAACTGTGACATGACTGCGGTGGCTTGTATAGGACTATGAAGAGTATTGGAGGAGATTGTTTTTGTTGTATTTTAAAAGACACATATTCAAAAAACGGAAACTTCCCAAGAGACATTCTATGGGAGACAAAGTGGTCTCTGAAAATGGCAGCTAAGCCTCCTCCTTTTTTGTTTTCCCGTATTTCAGATTCAAATTTGAAATTTGGTGGTGATGCTTCTATTAAAACTGCATTTTCTGTATTTTGGTCAAGCCATGTTTCAGCCATGAACATAAGATCAAGATTATAAGAACAAATAAAATTATTGATTAAAAAAGACTTGTTAGAAAGAGATCTGACATTTAGCATAGCAAGTTTCAAAGTTTCAGTATCAGCGGTTGTGGTCGGCTGATTCTTACACGGAACAAGAATTAGATTTTCCAGATTAGACTGATTAACTCCAGATGTCTTTCTGTAATGTATTCTTTGTGTTATCACTAAGGGAATGGCACAGGTGGCTTCATGACAGGGCCCCAGCCGGGTCTCTCCTCTAACTAGACTGCCAGTGGCTGCGAAGCAGAGACCCTGTGCATCCTAGGGAGAGGAGGGAGGAGGATGGAGAGGTGGGTGGTTCTTGGGTGTTGGACGAGGGGGGGTTGGAGGTGGATGGGTGTTAGGGGAGGGGCAGGAGTTGGGAGATAGACGAGGGGGGAGTGGAGGTGGAGGGGTTCTTGGTGATGGGAAACGAGGGGGGGGTGGGGGTGGGGCTGGAATGGTTTTGGGGTTAGGGGAGGGACCTGTGGATTTTGCGGGTGAATTCGAGTTAGAATTTGAGGGACGGGTGGATTTTGTGGGAGAATTTGAGTTGGACGCCATAGGTGGCTTTGGAGGTACGTATGGGGAGAAGTTATGAATGTTAGATAGGACCCTTGATCTGGCTACAGTGGGTGTGAGAGGAATATTCTTCATCGCCGATCTTATCATGCCTGCAGAGTGTTCCGGTAAATCCAATAGTGATGGAAAACACAGGGAAAGGTCGTCCTCATGTTCCTTAGATGGAGTGGATGTAGCGGGGGGGACCCAAACCGGGTCCATGGAAGGTGATGAGGGAGTCTTTGGTGGAGACGGAGGTGGTTGAGAGGCCCCCAGTGCAGGCCTGACTGTAGCCTGTAGCAATGGGGGGGGCTTCACGGGAGCTGTAGGTGGGGAAGGTGCTGCTGAAGATGATGCAGCAGCCACAGGATGCAGCAGAGTAAAATCTCTTCTCAACTTCTCGGTGGATTTCTCATAAATGTCTACTGCCCCTGTGTGTATCAACAATGTACTTACATCCTTGGTTTGAGATAAAACTTTTGGCACCAAAGCTCTTATCTCAGACACTCTGGCTGAGTGCAAAGAATAAGTCTGTACAAAGTTCAAAGATACATTCCGAATGGCTGAATCTCCAAGCAGCAAACACCGTGGCCTTGACGGAGGGGGAGAAACAGACTGTGGCTTTGCTTCTTCAAACAGAGCAGCATAACGATTTGAAGTTTTGCAAACATTTCGTGGCAGAATTCCACTCCCATTGTCATTCTTAGCTTTGTCAACTTTGGGTTTAGCGCCGCATTTATTCCAATAGTTCTCTTTGTTGATTTTGGGAAAAGTAATTACGTCATCATAACTTACATTTCCAGTCTGTCCATTCATTCCATTTTCACACATTGGAAGAGTCGGGTTAAGTCCCATTTCTGTTTCCAAAATATCCATCCGTTTTTGAAGAAATTTGAGCTCATTTTCCAGAGAGCAGCAGCCATCGCAGATTTGTCTTTGTTTCTTCCGTCCGGACATGATTAATGTTGACAAATTTCACAAAGCGAAGTCTGCAGAAGGAGTAATCCGTGTTTTGTAGAATAAAAATGTAAATAAAGTGATTAAAAGAGATTACAAAGCGAAGCAAGCAGCGGAGCACCAAGGAACACGTCTACACACTTCCACTGCGGAAGTACAAGCACACCTTCTCAGGAAGTAACAACAGCTGACCACACCTACTCAGGAAGTAACAACAGCTGACCATACCTATTCAGGAACTAACAACAGCTGACCAAACCTACTCAGGAAGTAACAACAGCTGACCACGCCTATTCAGGAAGTAAAAACAGCTGACCACACCTACTCAGGAAGTAACAACAGCTGACCACACCTACTCAGGAAGTAACAACAGCTGACCACACCTTTTCAGGAAGTAACAACAGCTGACCACACCTACTCAGGAAGTAACAACAGCTGACCACAACTACTCAGGAAGTAACAACAGCTAACCACACCTTTTCAGGAAGTAACAACAGCTGACCACACCTACTCAGGAAGTAACAACAGCTGATCACACCTACTCAGGAAGTAACAACAGCTGACCACACCTATTCAGGAAGTAACAACAGCTGACCACACCTACTCAGGAAGTAACAACAGCTGACCACACCTACTCAGGAAGTAACAACAGCTGACCACACCTATTCAGGAAGTAACAACAGCTGACCACACCTACTCAGGAAGAAACAACAGCTGACCACACCTATTCAAGAAGTAACTGTCACTCCCGTATTCGTCCCGGAAACCGGATTTGTCCGGAAGTTCCGTTTGATCCAATGAGCATACGCAGCAGTAGATTACGTCACGGAATCTGGACGGAAGCGGAAGTAAATATAACAAACTACCTATTCATGCCTAAACTTAACCAGCCATTCCCATAAAATATCCCCAACCCAGCCTTAAAGGAATAGTTCACCGTTTTTACATACTGACATATGTCAATAGAAGCAGCGTGACTTGTAGTACACACAGTAGCAGCGAGAGAGAAGTCTCCGGAGAGAAGTTAGTGCGCGGACGTAGCGCTCCTAACTTCTCTGCGCACTAACTTCTCTCCGGAGACTTCTAGAAGTCACGCTGCTTCTATTGACGGAAGTGAGCGAGAGAGAAGTCTCCGGAGAGAAGTTAGTGCGCGGACGTAGCGCCCCTCAGATTACTACGCCTCACAATATAGTACCCGTTTTATCCGCTGAGAAAATCGACAGTTACATTTCTGTGTTACTATACTTTGCAGTGTAACACGTCACGTAACTATATACATTTAATAGGGAACACTTGGAAGAGTTTGGTAGCTTCTAGCGGGAGCTACCTTTTGGTGCTACACAGTATACAGAGGAGGCTGCGTTTGTGCTCCCGTTTTTGCTCCGTTTGCATGACAGAGCGCACGGACTAAGACCAGACAGGTACGTATTAACTAGTCTAAGGTAAGGTAAGAACATATGTCAGTATGTAAAAACGGTGAACTATTCCTTTAACCCTAAACTTAACCATCTTAATCAGACGCCTAAACTTAACCAGTCACCACTTAAGGACTTATTACACTTTTTGACATGCGCAAACTGAACTTCCGGACGAATCCGGTTTCCGGGACGAATCCGGGAGTGACAGGAACAACAGCTGACATTAGCTCAAAACTAAGACTACAATCTTGACTTCTGACTGTTACCATAGTTACCAGGAAATATTTTGCAGCTGCCCCCACCACATTGTGAAACTATAGACTCTTTGGAATGTGTTGTCACACGAACACAACCTATTGGTCTATGCCTTTGTAGCCGATCCAATTTCATAGCATTTTCTCTCGTAATATAACGTACATGTCTACGGCTAAATGGATTTATCACAGCATTTCAAGGGTGCGAGACTTCTTCATTTTGTGATGAGAACCACCGCCGCCAACGCCAACCACCTCGCTTTAGTCTCCCCACCTCTGACTATCACCAGGCATTTATTTACAGCTAGAAAATCTGTATGCAAATCCAATGTTCTAAGCCCGCCTGTCAGACTGAGAGGACTGCAAAGGGAATCATAAGTGTGTGCCGTTATGGGAATATATATTTGGATGCTTGGGGAGTTTTATCTTCTCTATACCATCTTTGACAGCAGACGAAAGCCCAGGGCGTAACGGGGTATGACACAGAACATGTACAGCCAGAGGTCTTTCATGGTACTTTTTCCCCACGTCTAAGATTGCCTTACAATTCTGTGCATCCCTCGCTCCCACAGTATGGCTGTGGTAAGCTGCTCTGGGATAGACTTAACATTTTTTCCAAATCATTCAGATGCAAATAATGGAAATTCCAACATGGCTACTATTTATTTTGATTGTTTTACATGTTGTATATATGATAAATCAAACTTAAATTGTGGTTTTTGGGCCACATACATGATAGAATTTAGGAAAGAAGCTTAAGGAATAGGCTTGGAAGGAGTGGCAGTGGGCGAAATCCACAAAATCATGACAAAAGAAAAGTAAAACAGTTCTTGGGTTAGGGAAAATGATCTTGACCCACTATTTTCTTTGTGAATGATAAAAAGTTAACTTCATTATCCAGATGTGTTAGAAATTACCCAGTTTGTATCAATAAGTGTTTTGCTAAACCAAATAATATAGGGCTTCAGTCATTGATACTCCCAGTTTTATAGCGAACTTCTTGACCCTGAATTAGCTGTAGTCTGCTATCAGAAACAAGACAATATCTCGCTCCACTGTCTGATTATGTAGTTAAGTTCAATCCCAAGACAGATAAGATGCACACACACACACACACAAACACACACACATATAGATTACACCGTTTGTCCCTTTCTCCTACAGAGGTCTTTGACTTACGCGGCGATGGAGATGTTGGCCGCTGATATGGGGCTGACCTCCTTCACCTCCATGGCCTTCTGCAGAGCCAGCTTCTTATTGGCTGCCTCCTCTTGCTGCTCTTCGTCCTGCGGTCATTCAGAGCACAGCGGCAGAGATCAAATAGAAGGAAAGAACAGAAGGAGTGGTCTGAAGGAGTGGTCTGAGCGATCTGGAGAGAGCCAACTCAAACAGGTTATTTGAGCGGAAACGTGAACCAAAATGTATGCTAAATGTTGTGATTAGCAACGACCCAGCAACTGAGAGCCAATCAAGAGCAGCGTTGGTTTGTCCCCACCCTCGCACTGCTGGCAAACTAAAGTAGAATTTGGCGAAAGAAGGCTCCTGATTGGGCAGCTGTTCAGGCTCATATCTGGATTTACAAACACATTATTACAATATAAACACCAAGATCAACAAAAGCGCTAAACCACGTCAATGTAAGTCAATGGAAGCCAGTGCAAGGTCCCTTTTTGGCTTCACTGAGCTAGCAGGTTAGCATTGTCCATCTATATACAGTCTATTTGAGTGTGACACAAATGTTTGGGTGTGTGTTTTGCATTGTATCATTGTATATGTAGTATCATGTTGTGATGTTGTTGGTGGGATGTCTAGGTTTGGGATTAGAAAAGCATTCAGCTTCATCTACCTACTTTTCAGACCTTGTACTGTGTATCTGTGTTTGTGTTGATGTATGTAGGAGTTCAATAGGCGTTGGAGCAAAACTTCATCCATGAGCCCTTCCCTATTGCGCTCATTCAGTTGGCGGGTTAGCATTGTCTATCTATATTCATTGTTCTTTGATGGCTGGTGGGGGGTGGTGAAACAGTCCTACCTTTGTCAGCTCTTGGGCGTTGGCGAGGTTGTCAACAGCGATGGCCAAGAATACGTTCAGCAGAGTGTCTGGACATATGCTCAGGAAATTGCAGAAATTTAAAGCTGGGGTGCTTAACTTTAGTCTCTACTATCCCAGTCCCTAATCTCCCAGCCTCTTCTCTCCCAGTCTTTACTTTCTCAGTTTGAAAACAGTTGAGAGGATACAGTTTCCAAACAGCGTGAGGACGATGAAGTAGACTGAGGAGAACATGCCGCGCCGCACTCCGCCCTGGGACTCGATCCCGTGATACATGACGGCGTTCCAGTCTTCACCGGTCAGGATCTAAAGCACACACAAAAACAAGACACACAGAAACATGCACGCACACAAACACACACATATAAAAGACAGACACACACACAAAAGTCAGATTCTAGTCTTAGTTTAGAGCTATTTTCACTGTAATTGCTGGAATAATCCACAAGAAACAAAAATCAAAGAACTTCATCTTCTTTGTTAGTATGTCGTACACATCAACTCAAGTCTCCCCGGTCTCTCTCCGGTCTCTCTCTCTGGTCTAACTCTGTGGTCTAACTCTCTGGTCTCTCTCTCTGCTCTATCTCTCTGGCCCTTCTCTGTTCTCTCTCCGGTCTCTCTCTGGTCTCTCTCTGCTCTATCTCTCTGGCCCTTCTCTGGTCTCTCTCTGGTCTCTCTCTCTGCTCTCTCTCTCTGCTCTATCTCTCTGGCCCTTCTCTGGTCTCACTCCGTTCTCTCTCTGGTTTCTCTCTCTGGCCCTTCTCTGCTCTCTCTCCGGTCTCTCTCTGGTCTCTCTCTCTGCTCTATCTCTCTGGCCCTTCTCTGGTCTCTCTCCGTTCTCTCTCTGGTTTCTCTCTCTGGTTTCTCTCTCTGGTCTCTCTCTGCTCTATCTCTCTGTTCTCCCTCTCTGACCCTTCTCTGGTCTCTCTCCGATCTCTATGGTCTCAATATTTTCTTATAAAGGTGTCTATACGTGGTGCAAATATTCAGGCTTTGTAAATCTAATCACTATCAAATACTGATCAACATTTCTCTCAAAAATGACATCTTTCCCATAAACTTGCATTGACCCCTGCGGAACTACTGAACAGAAACACAATCTATTACTCTTAATGCTAACACTATAGTGGCTACATTTCCTCTACAGATGCTTCCGTTATCCGTGGGAAATATATGTTTATTACCAATCAAGTTTGTCCGGCTTGTAAATGGCTTTAATCTCTGGTACTGATTTTTCCCCTTCGACCGTCTCTGTGTGTGGAGTATTACAGGCCTGAACAAAAGAGGAGCTAATGACGAGATTACGAGTACGAGCCGCAAGAACCCCGCTGCTCATCCAGTCAGGCCATTGAAGCCGACTGAAAGCCAGGCGCCATTTTTACAGGATTGAAGAGGTGCTCTACAATCATAAACGTCTCAAAAGAACAGAAAGAATACCGTTTTTTATGTGAATTTATGGTAAATAATCAATGTATTATTTAGGCCAGAGTTTCCCAGTATATATGGATGGAAATAAAAGCAACTCCAGGTCTTGCATAATATCAAATTGTTTTTAGATCCATATACGCTGATATCAGGAACTTGTGGCGCAAACATGAAGCTCCGCCCCTTCTGTCTAAAAGCTCCTGTCGGTTATGATGTCATTGTACCACTATGACATCACACACACACACACACAGTATTGCACATTCATTGGTTTGAGCAATTTTTCAAGTAAATTTACGTTCTTTACAATCGCCTGACTGTGTTTGCAGCCGGGAAATTTCAAATTGGGAAGAACAAAACTAATTAAAACGACTCCCTCTGGTGGTAGCAGAAGGAGTTACAGGTGGAAAGCATTTTTTTTTTACCTTCAATAATGATCATTTTTATACTGAATATTTAGTTTCACATTCTGAAACATGAAAAGACAAAGATCTCATTAATATTTTAAATGGATAAAGATAATGTGTAATATTTCCTCTTCTGACCATTAATTCCATTCTGCTGTAGATTTAAATAGATATAGATAATTTTTTCTACTTCCTTACTTTACAAATCATATAATTTGTAGAAAATATATGGGGAAACAAGTGTGAAGGGTAAAAAATGCTTTAAGCCTGTAACTCCCTATGCTGCCACCAGAGGGAGAAGTACACATTATATATGTTTTCCAAATATGAAAACTACTGTCTGTGGTACAAAGATATCATACTGTTACAGGACTGAGACAGGAGCTAGAAGGGGGCGGAGTTACATATTTGTAACATAAGATTGTGATATTAGCGTGGATGGCTCCAAAATCAACTCCGGGTCTGTTTTGTGACAAGGGACTGAAACATTGAGACACAAACCTGGAACACGGTGAGGATGGCTGCAGGGAACGTGTCAAAGTTGGTGGTGGGAGTCTCGTCCTCAAAGTTGAACCTGAAAACAGAGAACCTTTAGCCAAACCGCGGCGAGGGACTGAGTTCTGAAACTTGTCTGTGAGTGAAGAGAAAAACAGGGAAAACTCGGATTTATCTGCGGGAACATCCACACAGACCAGTGAGGACCAGCGCTCTCCCACATCTGGACATCTGACCGTTTGGACCCGAGAGATCGCGTCATGTTATCAAAACAACAAAAGCAGTGAGCATTTTCCCTGCTTTGAAATTCCTTGGAAAAAGAACTGTTTTTAAATGCGTTTTTTTATAATTACAGTTTTATTATCAGTATCATTTGTCCTCACCAAGATGGCATCCACAGCAAAAAGCTTTTATTTTGTAATGTCTTTGTTGGAAAATGGAAACATACTGTATGGTTAGGTTTGATGTGACGGCTGGATACATTTTTGTTCTATGCGTAGGATAAAATTTTGGAAGCTTTGTTAATACAAAAAGTAATGTATATGTTGTTGTTGCTTTTTACCTTTATTTAATTTTAATAATATAACTTGAAATAGAGCAAAAACAGTTTGGGGAAAGGCTAAATGCTAACTGCTAACAGTGTGTTGCTATGGTAACTAGCGCTAAGTCTTCTCTGGTGGAAAAACAAGCTGTACCAGGACCAGTCCAAGGCAAGGAATCACTACAGGGACCAGGAAATAGTCCGGGACCTGGATATAGTCCAGGACCAGGCACAAGTCCGAACCCCTGAACCAGTCCAGGCCCCGAACAAGTCCAGGAACAGGAAGCAGTCTCGGGCCCCTGAACCAGTCCAGGGTCCAGGCACCAGTCCAGGTCCAGCACATTGTAGAGAAGAGGCTTTAACTATACCATAGAACGTTCTGGAGAATGTTTTTGTCGTGATTCCTTGCTGTCCTTGGAAGTAGAACTAGCTTACTGACCGGCTCTCAAACTTTAGACATTGGAAGATAAAAAGCTGGAGTGTGGATGCATCTTCACACATGAACTCAGGGGGACAAGGGACAGTCTGAAGGAGACTTAAATGTGGCAAAGGTCAGTCCCACACGGCGCTGGTGTCCTCTAAAACCAATCACATGTGTCTGAGCTCCAGGGCTGCAGCTGTTACATTAGTACCACATCAACAGGAGCCACCGCTTTCAGTGGAGGACAAGAGAAGTCTAAAAACATATTGTGAAGACCCGCACCCACAAGGTTCAAGGGCACATATTATACTTTTGTGTTTATAATGACACAAATCTATTAGTGTAAATTTCTCCTGTGTGAGATTAATAAAGTATATCTTATCTTATCTTATCTTAGTTCATAATTCTTTCAATTATTTTGACTGTTTTGACTCAACAATTTACAGGGGTAAGGAAAAGTTATGCAGATTTGAAAGCATCTTAAAGCTCAACTTTTGAATTTGTTTCGAATGTTTATTCTTATATTGTTGAGAGAAAGTCCGACTGAGACCCACTTTTTAGAAGCAGGGGAAACCAGAGCACCCAGAGGTCACCTACGTAGATTATTCTTTGAAACGAGGTATATCACGCCATGGTATTAACCTCTTATTATCAATCGCTGCAAGTTTATCATAAGAATTGAAAGTCAGTTCAAGTGCCACAAAGATGGCGGCGCTGTATAGGATAAAATATTTGTTTTTTATGTTCAAAATTAAAATTCAAAAACTATTGATCTGTGACTTTAAACCAGAGCGACAGTTGTTTCAGAGGCAGTAATCCTATGTTTATATCTCTCTCTAGCATTTACAGCCTGGTGTGAGCTGTGCCCGGCGTTGCCATAGAAACCACCCTGCTGTGCCCTCCACGAGAACGAAAAGGGAACACAGACGGACCTGCCAGATCAATGGGTTTAGGACAAACAAATTGTAAGCATATTTAATCTTCTCTGTTAGAACCAAGTAGGATCAGACCATAAACACTGGGGTCCACCTCCTATGACACTATTGGCATCACTGTCTATGGACTTTGGAAATCTGATAAAGAAGGAATACTTTTGTTACAAGCCCTGTTTCACTCTATTAAATTCTACTATATTAACTAAAGTCTATAAAATTCTACTCTGATTGGGAGCGTTTGATTGGAAGTAGAGTAGAGTAGAGCAGAGTAGAGTGGAGTAGAGTAGAAAGAAGAGTAGAGTAGAGTAGAGTAGAGTAGAGTAGAGTAGAGTAGAGTAGAGTAGAGCCGAGTAGAGTAGAGCTGAGTACAGTAAAGTAGAGTAGAGCCAAGTACAATAGAGTAGAGTAGAGTAGAGTAAAGCTGGTGGAAACACTGCTTTAAACGACAGAATATGAAAAAGTTGCCGCAGTCTGAATATTCATCACAATGTTACACGCTTGAAAATAGAGCGTTTATGCAGAAGGAGCGAGGGGTGGAGCTAAAAACATCTCCAGGTCTGTTTTTAATTAAAAAACTCGAGAGGATTATGCATAATATGTGCCCTTTAAAGACATATGGACTTAGTAGTGTTAAAGCTGGAGTACGTAACTTTACAGGAATACGTTTGGTTTTCCCCAATACAAATACTGTATAGTCACATTTGGGATTAAATTCGACCTCAAGAAAGATCCCTCTTAGTCGTTATTTGACGCTTTGGGCTGAGAGCTGATTGGCTGAGAGAGGGTGGTCCTCTCTTTTTCACTTTTCAGTCTGAAAAAGCTGATCTAAAGATGTGACAGAGGCCAGAAATACATGCATAAGAAACATATGGATCCAAACTTTTCTGAGAGCAGGGAACTAGAAATTACTAGATTTTATTTCATAGTTAAAGGTATATAGGAGGATTTTCCCAATATTTAGGAAAGAACCGTCCTCTCCACTTTTTGAACTAAACTCTCTGGTCTTATTTGACAAGCATGTGTCTGACATGAGAGGACCAACTGAGAGGACCAATAGTCTTGATGATCCACCCGGAAGTAGAACATCCTCCTATATACCTTTAAATCTTTTGTGGCTACAATCCAAAAACATTTTGATCTAAAAAAAAAACCTTAGGTACTCCAGCTTTAACTATGTTTTTCCTCCATTATTTGAACTTGAACAGACGTCACTGTATCAAATGAAAATAGGCTGTTGCTTATGAGTTCCACTAATACTGCTTTTTTACCTGACATGTTTCAGCGGGAGAGGTCATGGACATGAGAGGGCATTGAAATCAGGAAGTGGTGCGCACAGACCATTAACAGACACCAGGGGGCCTATACGCAGGCAATCCGGTAACAACAGCTGATCAGAGACAAGTCACACCATCACGTGTCTCTTCAGACCACGGCGGAACTCCTCTGGGGCGGGGGGAGACCAGCGCATCTGTGGACTGGACTCCCCCTGAGTCTTGTAAAGTCCACTGAGACGACTGCTATTGTGATTTATGGTTATACACAATAATATATTGAATGAATTGATATAAAGTCAAAAGCGGCTCGGTTGGTAGAGCATTAGCCTTTGAGCCTGGAGAATGTAGGTTTGAGCCCACCATGAGACCTTCTCCACCCACTGATGTCTGCTGTTGCTGTGTCCTTATGCAAGACACTTAACCCCACTTTGCCTGAAGCCCCCGCTGAAAGATCATGGCTGTACTCTCATCGGCAGAGTAGGATCAGTGAGGGGCTGGTGCTCTGTGAATTGGGTGCATCTCTGACTGCCACCCCCCGACACAGAAATCAAGATTAAGGGGAAGAAAATGGATGAATGATTTAAAGAAATCATCCGAAACATGTCAGCTAATGGAGCAGTACTAGCTTCTTTGCAACATTTTCTTAATCAAAGAACCTTCTAAGCCTTAAACATAAACAAGACGTCACTTATTATTATTTTTTTTACAGTAAATATAAAAACACCAGTCTTTCTGTTGGCAGTCCATCATAAATGTTTGCGAGCATCTATGAAGGAGCAACAACAAACCTGCCGAACCCCGAGTCCTCCATCTTGAAACTGGGGGAGAGGGTGAGAGAGTGACAGAGATAAACACGGATTATCACAAGGCATTCATCAAAACACAGCACGCAAAACAGACATATGCACAAAGAAACATCGTCACATCTTTCACGGGCCTCCTGTAAATCAGATCAACGCTGCAAATACGGAAAACACACAAGAGCGAAAATCATCGACATGGATCATCGTTTGAGGGTAGTTTGACGGCTGTTTATTTCCTTTGAGAAAACGTGTGTGACCGGTCCTCGGTTATAACAAGCGAAACAAGATTATGATGATTGGTTAAAGTTGGGAAGCACAGATTAGAAGCGTTAAAGCTGGGGTACCTACGTTTTCTGCTTCATAGATAATGTGTGTTTGTATCAACAGAAAGAGTCTTGAAGAATTCAGACCACAACATGCTTATCTGGCAACTACTCGCAAGAAAAAGCCCTGTGAGTCACTATTTGACTATTCGGGCTGAAAGCTGATTGGCTGAGTGTGAGTGATCCACTCTTTTTTTCACTATTTTGTCTGAAAAAGCTGATCTAGAAATGAGACTGAGGCCAAAAACACATGCATGTGAAACCTCGTCATGGACACTGGTTAAAGGGTGAGATGGCTATTTTTCTCATTTCTTTAAAAAAAAAATTCTTTATTTTCAGACCAAACACATGGAAACGCAGCTTGTTTCTTCTCCATAGGAACGAGACAACAGCGGAGCGCAAGGTTCAGCAACATAAACATACAACAATATAATACTGAGAAACACAAAGGTCATATCTGAGAGCTGTTTTCTATAAGCACAATACCATTAACATGAGCGCGTCTCAAGTGGGTTTGTGTAGAATAAGGACTCTATAATAGAAGATTGGGTTTTTATGAGAAAAAATACGACATTTCTAAATGGCTCCTTGTACTTTGGACACGCTACAAAGAGACTGGAAGCTTGAACTTTTGTTAATCTTTCAGCATCTGAGATAATTAGTATTATGTGTTATCCTGCCAGTATGTCATATTCTCTCTTAGTGGTCTAATAAAGTAATTCCAATTACAACCATACTGTTGTTGCCAGAATTTTCCGACCTGGAAGCACTAGTTACTGATTAAATCCACCTGCTGGGGTTTAGTTAGTAACAGTACAAATGCTGTGTATTTGTATTGCATGACTAAATATTTTTGTATTTCTTTCATTGAAGTATATGTGGTGCTAGCTGTTGGGGCCGAAGCCAAAGATAGTGCTAAAGATAGAGGCAGAAAACAAGCTATATTTCACCTAGCACCTGACTGGCAACCCAAAGGAGAGCCTCATTCTGCGCTCTGATTGGATAATCTGCTTTGAATTTGTAAACATAAATACTATGGACATCAGATTTACTTGTTCAGAAAAGGTTAGATATGGTGTGTACATGTGGCTTGTTATCTGGGGACACATATTTAAAAGATACAATTTAAAATGGAAATATCACATACTGTCCCTTTAAAGCAGGGGTACTTAAGTTTCAAACCACAACAAAATGGAACTATGCAATAAAATTAATTGTCCAGTTCTTTGCGTTCGGTTTGGTTCTATCACTAGTTTTCACATGTGTTTTTTGGCCTCTGAAGAGTTGTCGATCAAAAGTCTCAGCCAATCAGCTTTTGCCATCACCATCATGTTCCTCAATGTGGAAGAAGTAGATTTGAACATAGGCTAGCTGGAGTTGATGTCCTTATATTGGCATTTGTTTTGTTAAAATGTCGAAAGCTTTCTGCTGTAACAGGTGCAGATGTGTTCCTAGCACGGTTGCTAAGGAAAGCTGGAGTTTCCGGTGTAATTGAAGGCATTTGATTAGTCAACCTCATACCTCTCTATCAAAAGGCAATATCAATAATATAAACACCAGGGTCACAGAGAACATCAAACCACAGATTTTGAAAACCCAAATTGGTGTGACACAAACGGCTACTGAGCTAATGTAATCGTAAAGTTTATTCATCCTCGTAGGAAAATTTGTCCTCTGCATTTGTGGTCGTCGTAGTAACAGCGCCCGGGAACCCATCTCCAGATGTTAAAACTCGGGTTGGTCAGGACCGGAGGATTGACCTATTGTGCATGTTTTCAGTGGTAGGAAACCTTTGCAGACATGGGGATAACAAGCAAACTCAACTCAGAAAGGCTTTGTTCCTGACTGGGATTCGAACCCAGGACCTTCTTGCTGACTTCTGGCAATCTTTGTCCATGAGCACTTCCCTATTGGGCACCATTGAGATTGTCGTTTGGGTGTGTGGACTGGGTCGTCGAGGTCTCCGCCTTCGACTGCTGCCCAGTCCTCTCTGCACCTCACCACCACGGACCCCTCTGCAGGTGGTGGGCCCACAGGAGGGACTGCCCACGTCATCCCTTCGGGCTGAGCCCGGCCGGGCCCCGTGGGCTAAGGCCCGGCCACCAGGCGCTCGCTTGCGAGCCCCGACCCCAGGCCTGGCTCCAGGGTGGGGCCCCGGCTGCGCCATGCCGGGCGACGTCACGGTTCTCATTGTCGTGCTGTCCATGGTTGGCTTCGGACTGCGCTTCGTCTGACTCGTCACTTCGACCGCGGATACAAGCGGTCGAAATGAGCTTCCTCCGCAGAGTGGCTGGGCGCTCCCTTAGAGATAGGGTGAGGAGCTCAGTCACACGGGAGGAGCTCGGAGTAGAGCCGCTGCTTCTCCACGTCGAGAGGAACCAGTTGAGGTGGCTCGGGCATCTGTTCAGGATGCCTCCTGGACGCCTTCCTGGGGAGGTGTTCCAGGCACGTCCCACCGGGAGGAGGCCCCGGGGAAGACCCAGGACACGCTGGAGAGACTATGTCTCTCAGCTGGCCTGGGAACGCCTTGGGGTCCCCCCGGACGAGCTGGAGGAGGTGTGTGTGGATGGGGAAGTCTGGGCGTCTCTGCTTAGACTGCTGCCCCCGCGACCCGGCAACGGATAAAGCGGAAGAAAATGGATGGATGGATGGATGAGATTGTCGTTGTCCATCTGGATGCTGTCTCTGGAAATATCTGTGTTTTTGCTCATGAGACTCTGATGATCATACTGTATAACGAAAGAGGTAAAAATCCTTCTTGTTTCATTGGCAAAAGCTATTTTTAGTAAAGATATTAGCACATCAAGATTCCTTTTCCCATTTCACAACATTTTTGATGTTTTTTTTCTCGAGTTGTGCGGTTAAAACAGATGCTGTAATTGGCGGAATGGAATAAGCAGAAAACTCGGCTCAATGAAATCTCGTCAGACAGATAAACACTGTCTCTTGTTTAGACGTATCTCTCCTCTCATAAGCTGCTCACACTGTACTTCATCTTAATCCTCTACAGCGAGACAGAGCCGATTTTCCTCCGCACTGTGGCCTGCGAATACCTCCGGTCGTATGTTTTCCACTCCGAATGTTTCTACCCTGCAGTGTTGGGGAAAGGGGCAAGGCTGCGTTTTATTTTTGGGACGTGAGACATGACTTAATTAGCTGTTGGATCAGTTAGCATGTCAGCTTGTCCTTATCGTTAGCCAATCACAACATCACATTAATATTAAAATGGCTGCATTTTCTTTCATCTTTCTTGCCTTCGCCAGAGCAGCAGAACTGACAGCCCTGCCCTAAGCCGTCAAAGCTTCCAGTCAATCCAGTGTCTCTCAAACTCAGCTCAAGACTACAGTAGTTTTGAATGTCATCCTGATTTATTGAAAGAACTACATTCCACCAGAAGAAGACCAGTTTTAGACCGTATACAGTAGTAGTGGACAGATTGAGTGGTGGCCATAGACTGTATATAGATGGACAATGCTAACTCGCTAGCTCAAAGAAGCTATCAGTGCTCATGAACAAATTTTTGCTCCAACCCAAAAGAAAACTCTGCCAGCTCAGTAATCATTTGTGTCACTCTTACTATTTGGGCGCTCTCTATGATCCTGGTGTTTATATTATGATATTGTCTTTGTAAATCCAGATATGAGCTAAAAGCATTGATCAATCAGATGCCTTCATTCACAGGGGAAACTCCAGCGTGGCTTAGTATCCTTCTTATGCCCATATAAGGAAATTGGCTCCTTATATTCAAATCAAATCAAGCTCTTAGCATACAGTCTACGGTGCTGACTTGGCCTATAGCCTTTTCAATATCACATTATCCCACTATCAAGAAGCTGATTGAGGACTAAACATGGGGGAGGTAGCATTTCAGATTCATGCAGCTAAAATCTGGAACAGTCTTCGTGAAAATGTGAGACAGGCTTTTACTCTGGCAATGTTCATATCCAGGTTCAAACCAGTTCTGATTAGCTGGGTATACTTCTTTTTAAAGCACTGTAATTATTTATGATTTGAATGTATTGTGTAATTTTTTTTCTTTTTTATCTTGTTTTGTTGAGCACTTGGAGTTGCCTTGTGTATAAACTGTGCTATACAATTAAACTTGCCTTGCCATGATACAAATACATTTAACTGCAATGTATTCGTAAAAAAAAAGTGTTGCGTCCCCCAACCGTCCGGATGTACCAGAGACAGGGGTAAAACTGTTGACTGTGTGTGTTGTTTCGGCTGTGCTGGCTTCTCGTCAGCATGTCGCCCTCTGTCTTGTGTTGAGTCATCGTGGCTGGGGGCCTGTTCATTGATTAAGGGCCCGCAGCTCGTCCCCTGGAACGGCCCCCGTCATTAGAGACAGGATCAGAGACTCTGAGGGGAGAGTATGTCTGACAGCCTGTGCTCGGGGAGAGGTCCATGCACTCAGTGAACACATGGCACAGCAGTTGTGGACTGTGTTTGAGGCGGCTTATCCAGAATCTTCTGGTCTCTCTCTGGGCTCTCTCACTGGTCTCTCTCTGATCTCTTTCTGGGCTTTCTCACTGGTCTCTCTCTGATCTCTCTCTGGGCTCTCACTGGTCTCTCTTTGGGCTCTCTCATTGGTGTCTTTCTGGTGTCTCTCTAGTCTCTTTCTGGCCACTCTCTCTGGCATCTTGCATTGGTCTCTCTCTTTCTGGTCACTCTCTGGGCTTTCTCTCTGGTTTTTCTCTCTTTCCTCTTTTGCAAGCCTCTCACTCTGGTCTCTCTTTCTGGTTTCTCTCCCTTGCTCCTCTCTCTGACCTCTTTTCCTGCTCTCTCTTTTTGGTGTCTCTCTCTGACCTCTTTGTTCTCTCTCTCTGGCCCCTCTCTCTGGCCTCTCTTTCTGGTCTCTCTATGGCCCTTGGTTTGTGTGTTTGTTTCTATTCAGATCCCCTATAGCGACTGAAATATACAGCAGCTATTCTTCCTGGGGTCGCTCTACGGTTTTTGTGGATGGAAACGGTCACTCACTGTCCTCCGAAGAGCTGCATGCCGAGCAGAGCGAACACCACGATGAAGAGGAAGAGTAGGAAGAGCAAGCTGATGATGGACTTCATGGAGTTCAGCAAAGACACCACCAGGTTCCTCAGAGAGTTCCAGTACCTGACACAGAGACAGGAGATCAATCAACTTTCTCATTCATCAAATATACATGAAGAAGCAAGGAAACCATTTTTCCTTCGTATATAAATACACTAGTACACTTTGGGTAGCGTGCCTGTTTGTACAGAGCAGGAGGAGGTGTCATGGTGTGGACTTTTTGACTATTTTGACCTGCTTTGACCTGATTTGTTTTCTTGTAGTTTGAGTTGCTTCCTGTCTCCTGTTGATTTTTTGCCCTGGTGTGTTTCACCTGCATCCCTCTGTGTGTATTAATTCCCTGTGTGTGTATTAATTCCCACTTGTTGTCCGTTCATGGTCTGTACCACGTTTGCTCCTGGCTTGTTTTCAGTTCTGTATTTTGGCGTTACCTTGTATTTATTTGATTAAATTACACTTTTGGGTTCCTTTTTCATATCACCACATGACAAATGAGGCTTGACGCAGAGTTGGTCTGAGGTCCTAGATTTGTATTATAAGAATAATGCATTTGATTTATGATTTTGAAATATTTAAACCCTCCCCTGAACCTTTTCCAATCTCTTCTTTTCAATCTGTTCAAATAATACAGCGGCTACAGTCTACCTCATAGACCTTAGTCTCGCCTGTAATTACACTCATCATAAGATAAACTAATAATAATAATTCAACTTTATTATCCCAAAGGGAAAATATGAGTGGTATACAGTGCTTCATAGATCTGCACGAAAGAATAAAAAGAAAAAGACACAAGAGAGTACTTAGACAGGAAAGTGCATCAGTGCTTTGAAGTCTCTGTTTCTGCACCAAATATAATAAATAGATCCCGGATCCTCATATCAGTTAGTTACTGTGGTATATGTAACATGGAGAAAAACTCCAAACTTTCCTAGTACGTCTCCTTCAAGTCCTGAGCAAAATTGAATTGAATTTGAATTTCACTTTTGTTTTGTAATTGAGAAAAAGTGAAGTGTAATCGTACAAAATGCAGGATGATTCTACAGGGAGAGGCTGTCACAGGAAATGAAGATGCATGTTTTTTAAAGAGCTCCTGGTAATGAGCGCAGTGTACGATGTGATTTAACGAGATTGCGGCTCCGATCGTATCAGAATGACATCAGTAAGACGCACGCACGCAGACACACACACACACACACTAAAGTGCCTCAGCTTTACAATCAGGAAGTCATAATTTCCCTGCATTTATTTGGAATCCCCCCTTTTCTACTGGAATGAGAATAACAGCAGTTTCAGAATTAGTAAAGCAGGTTTATGTCTGATTGGCTGAGTGAGGGTGGTCCTGTCTTTTTCACTTTTTTGTCTCTAAATAGGCCATAAATATACACATCTGAACACAAGTGATATATAGAAGCAAACTGTTTTGAGAGTGAGGGACTATATGGATTGAATTACACTTCCCATTGTTGTGGTTTGAAAGTAAGGTACCCAAGCTTTAATTTCCTCAACCAGCTCATTTGTCTAATCTCCCTGAATTTGTATTTTATAAAGGAAAAAAATTACTTTTGTTGTTATATTAATGATTTTGAGTAAGACAGCTTTGACTCAAATATCTGTCTTTCTATCTATCTATCTATCTGATTGATTGATTGATTGATTGATTGATTTTTTTATTCATTCGAGCAGAAATTTTACAATCATAAGTATTTACAATATTTACATTCCTTAGATGATTCTTTATACATACATGTTGCCTGCTGTGCTTACAGTTTATACTTATACATAGAAATATATAAACAAACTATACAATCAAGCAACAATAGTTTCCCTAGTTACACCATGTGTTATACATCGCAATATCAATACACAAATGAACCTCTATTTACAATTTGTCAGCTCGAAATGGAGTGGGAAGGAAGTAAAAACTTGTCGACTCCCACCCCATAAACATAATTCAAAAACATGCAAGAATGTTGTTATTTAGCATTGAATAAATAATACCTTAATAATAATTTCTCGTGTTCAGTGCGATTTAATACTTTTATAAAGTTACATCTGTAACAGTGATCACTGTGCCCCAGCAAGGCCCAGCGCCCCAACTCAGGCCAACTCCAGTCACAAGGAGCAGCCGCCACAGCAGTAGACCAATCATGCACAGGAACAATAGTCCAACGCACAGCAGGCTCCAACTACACCATGAGCAACCACCTCACTGATCATTCATACCATTGTTTTATTCTTTCAAATGAAAAGGCATTTGATTAATTCTACAGTTTCTTTACCTTGGATAGAGCCGATTATCACCACCGTGACTGTCCTAGCTCCACCTTCAGGCAGAAGATACTTTCTTTAATTTTTGTTCTTTTACACATATATATATATATATTTTTTTTTTTTTCATTTTTTATTTTCAATTCATACTCTTTTGTATGTCCAAATGGATTCTAGACAGTGAGGTCATTCCTGATTGCGTGTCCACAGAACGCCACTATGACATGGGTCCACTGCCCCTCCACACCACCAGCCACCACCACAGAAACCACCTCCCGAGACACAGAACTAGCCTAAGAGACTGCGCCAGTGCCCACCAAAGCAACACCAATCACTGCTGCACACGTATTTCTACATTTAGTACACCAATATATAAAATATTAAGTGTTCTCTATACAGAAATATAAACATACAAGCAGACATACACATATTATCACATACATAACTACAAATTAAATATTAAATGTTCTCTATACAGACACACACACAACAACATACATATACCTGTTTTCATATACATAACTACATATGTAACCCTGTTATTTTATGTATTTTATTTTAATGGTGATCATGAATGCTCTTATACCCATACTGGTAATACCCAAAACAGTTACTATTGACCCTGTAGTGATTTGTTAGTATTTTTCTCCCTCATATTTTGTCCATATCATCTTTTTAAGATGTGATTTGAATTGCTGGATACTTGAGCACTGCTTCAACTCCTGGCTCAGGCTGTTCCAGAGCTTCACCCCACAGACAGATACACACCAACTCCTCCTTGTGGTCCTGACGGCTGGGAGTTTAAAGTTACTACATCTTCTCAAGTTACGCTCATATTCTTTTTTAATAAATGTCTTTTGAATATTGGCTGGTAGAGTTTTTGAATTAGCTCTAAACAGCAGTTGTGCAGTGTTAAGATTAACCAGGTCTTCTAATTTTAAGAGTTTTGATTTTAAAAATAAACCATTAGTGTGATCGAGATAGCCCACTTTGTTGATTGTTCTTATTGCACGTTTTTGTAATATTTTGAGGGGATGTAGTAGACTTTTATAGTTGTTTCCCCACACCTCAATACCAAAGTTTAAGTAGGGCAGCACAAGCGAACAATACAATAAATTCAAAGCATGATAGTCAAGGATATATTTGGTTTTATTTATTATTGCAATGCATTTTGAGATCTTGGTCTGTACGTGTCTGATGTGGGGTTTCCAGTTCAATTTGTCGTCCATTATTATACCTAGAAATTTGTTTTCAGACACCCTATCAATTTTCACACCATCTATGTTTATAAATAAATCTGATTTGATTTTGTAGTTGCCAAACATCATAACTTTCGTTTTGCTTAAATTCAGAGAGAGCTTGTTGGCATCCATCCATGATTTTAATTTGGCTAGCTCCGAGTTAATTGTATTAATAAGATTGGTATAGTCATTATTTTAATAGAAAATATTAGTATCATCCGCAAACAGGATCATCTTTAGTGAACTGGAAATGCTAAACATGTCGTTAATATATAAATTAAACAATTTTGGTCCTAATATTGACCCTTGAGGAACACCACAAGCTATGCTCAAGTATCCAGAAGTGTAGTTTCCCATTTTCACAAACTGCGTTCTGTCTGTTAGGTAGCTTTTGATCCAATTGTGGGCAATTCCTCTTATTCCATATAATTCCAGTTTATTGATTAGTATACTATGATTTAATGTGTCAAAAGCTTTCTTGAGATCTATGAATATCCCTGCTGCATATTTCTTCTTGTCTAAGGCTTGTGTGATTTCCTCCACTGCTTCAATTATAGCCATTGTTGATGATCTGTTCCTCCTAAACCCGTACTGACTTTCATGGATTATGTTGTGTTTATCAATAAATGTTTCAAGCCTGCTATCAAACAATTTTTCCAGAATTTTTGAAAATTGGGGCAAAAGTGAGACTGGTCTATAGTTTGTGAAAATGTGTTTGTTATCATTTTTATGGATAGGTATTACTTTAGCATGTTTCATTTTATTTGGAAATAACCCCGTTAAGAAGGATAGATTACAGATAAATGTAAGTGGTTTTGATGCTCCTAGCAACTTTTTTAATAAGTGTCATACCAATTCCGTTGCAGTCTGTTGACGTTTTATTTTTACATCTATTTATAACACTAATTACTTCATCTTCACTAGCCGGTGGTAGAAACATTGTGTCTAAATTTCTGCTAATGCTAGATGAACTACAGTTAGTCACCGGGATTTGCGATGCAAGGTCTGGTCCAACATTTACAAAGAATTTGTTAAAGCTATTGACGACTTCATTCATATTATAGTTTTCACTATCTTTTTCTATATAATAATTTGGGTATGTATCCTTATTAGTATTATTTGTAATTATTCCATTTAATATGCCCCATACTTTTTTGATATTTGTTCTGTTTACATCCAATAGATTTTTATAATATATTTTCTTACTTGCTCTTATAATCTGTGTTAACATGTTTTTATAATTCTTATATTTGCTTTCAGATTCTTGTGTCCTTAATCGGAGGAATTTTCCATAAAGCCTATTCTTTTTTTTACATGATTTTTTTAGTCCTCTGGTTATCCAGGGACACTTTGTGTTCCTTTTTCTATTACTGTGATATTGTATTGGACAGTATTGATTGTACAGTGCAATGAAAGTATTTAGGAAGATTTCATATGCTCTGTCGACATTTGTTTCCCTGTAAATGTTGTTCCAGTCCTGCTGCATCAAAGCATTGTTCAGTGCATTTATATTATCTTCATTTTGTAATCGTTTCATGCTGTGATCTATAAAGTTTTGCCTTATAGTGCATTTTGTATCAGATACCAAAAAAACCAGCAAGTGGTCTGTTATATCACATATCACCAAGCCGCTTGACATGCAGGAAAATATATTGTTTGTAAAAATATTATCAATAAGGGTAGCGCTCTGAGATGTAATCCTACTTGGTCTGGTAATGGTTGGATAAAAACCCATGCTATACATTGTATTAAGAAATTCATCTGTAGCTCTATGACAATTTGGATTTATTAGATCAATGTTGAAATCACCACAAATATATACAGTCTTGTTCCTACTCTCAGAGAATGTCCTTTCGATCCAGTTGTTGAATTGATCTACAGTATACTTGATCCAGGGACTCTATACACACAGCTTACTAATACATTTTTATTTTTTTCATTATATACTTCAACTGTTACACACTCTAGTAAATTATCAATTGCTCTTGTCAAATTTGGGACTACCTTGAATCTTAGATTAGTTTGAACATATAATGCTACCCCACCCCCCATTTTATTTACCCTAGTCACATAATTTAAATCATATCCTGCTAGTTCAAAGTATACTCCTTTCTCAACATTAAACCAGGTTTCAGATATGGCTATGATGTTATCTAAAAGATAAGCTATGTTAACAAATATTCTTCCAAAAATGTTTTGGTCCTTTTAAACTCCTACAGACCTACAGTCTTGTTTTTCGGCTTTTCACCATGGCAAAGACAGGAATGTGTCAAAATAAGACAGAGCAGGGAGAGATCAGAGAGACCAAAGAGGGAGACAAGATAGGGAAACCAGAGAGAAAAAGACCAGAGAGAGAGACCAGCGCGACCAGAGAGAGACATTAACCTGACCTGTACGGAGGTCAGGTCAATGACCATTTACCTGACTTCCCATAATTCCCATAATTGCCAGATGTGATTGATATTTGTGTGAGAGAAGCAAAACAAGTGCAGAAAATGAGAGTAATGATTTCTGTTGACGGTGAATCGTGTTAGCGTGTGGCAGCAGCGTTTTATTTCCTGAGCTTAGCAGTAATCCTGTGATCCACTGGCGCACACACACACACACATACATACAAACACACATTGATTAGTCTCATTCACAACAGCACTTCATCTCATTGACTTGGATGCATTCTCTTCTCTCTCCAGATGCAAGCTTTCACAAACCAGGAATACACACACACAGCAGCACAAATACAGTACCAGGCCACATATAAAACCATAGCAACATCACTCACTTTGTCACTTTGAATATCCGGAGCAGACGCAGGGCCCTCAGCACACTGATGCCGAAAGAAGCTCCCGGTTTGATCATGTCCCAGAAGACCTCAAAGATACTGCCCACGATCACCTGCAAGGAACATCAGAAGGTCAGGAGAGGAGGACTCTGGGACAGACGGACAGACAGACAGACAGACAATGCACTCACCCCAAAGTCGAAGCAGTTGAAGGAGGAGTGGAAGTAGTTGCGCGCTCCGAGGCCGTACATTTTCAGAGACATCTCGCTGAGGAAGAGTCCGAGGAAGACGAACTCAGCCGTGTCTGTGAGAGAGAGAGAGAGAATGAGCCCAAACACAGACCGAAACTCACTCACGGGAAGTGTCTCTCAAGTCACAGAGCAGAGGGAGACCAGAGAGACCAGAGAGAGACAAGAGAGAGAGACCAGAGAGACCAGAGAGAGACAAGAGAGAGAGACCAGAGAGAGAGATCAGAGAGAGACCAGAAAGATCAGAGAAAGAGATCAAAGAGAGATCAGACAGAGACCAGAGAGTGAGATCCGACAGAGAGAGAGACCAGGGAGAAAGACCAGAGAGAAATCAGAGAGAGAGAGAGAGAGATTAGACAAAAAAACCATAGAGAGACCATAGAGTGAGATCAGAGAGACCAGAGAAAAACTAGAGAGGGAAACATACTCCTGGTGCAGTGAACCAGGGCAGCTGGTTGTAGCTATAGTAGTTCCAGTAAAAGTAGAAGTTGCAGCAGTAGCAGTAGCAGCAGAAGCAGCAGCAGCAGTAGCAGTAGCAGCAGCAGTAGCAGTAGCAGTAGCAGTAGCAGTAGCAGCAGCAGCAATACTCACACAGTGCGGTGGTGAGCCAGGGCGGCTGGTCGTAGTGCACGATGGCCACACACATGGTGTTGAGTCCCACCACACACAGCACCACCCAGTAGAAGCTCTGGGCCTTAACCATGCGGCGGATGCAGAAGCGCATCCTCTTCTCTTTGCGGCGGAAGTACGTGTGACTGTCCATTTTCCCGCTCTTCACACTGGAGCGGCCGAACGGCGAGCCCGGGGGAGCTGCACACAAACACACACACACATTCCTGAAATAGACGTGACAAAATCGACTTCATAGCAGGTTCTTGAGAAGCAGATTTGAGACTCTCTTGTTACCCCGTGTGATGGCTTCTATAGGAAGATCTTTGTTTAGATGTGCATGCGCCACTGACTGTGATACCGGCACATACAAAAGCAAGTTTTACAAGAGTTAGTGGGCAAAATGCACTATATATAAGCACTTTAAAGCAAGAAGATCGGAGGAGATATAAGGATAAGCCAAAAATAAGTATAGGAGACCGAAATACACATTTAAAGCCCATACAAGACCTGGGATGACGACAAATGTTGGTCAGACTGTCTTGGCCCTTCACGCAAGAAAAGTTAACTCAAAGATCCTCCTATAGGTTAGTCTGAGGACATCAATTCTATAATAATCTACGTAAATAATAATCTTTGTGTATGTAGTGTATGTCATGTGTCTACTGACTTCAGGTCCTGCTCAGAGACGACAGTTGTAAATTAGCATCTTCTGCTATAACCGGTTCATTTAAGTCAACAACCTGTGCTCAAGAAGTAAGCAGGACTCTCGTATATTGCCTCGTTCTGGTCAGTGGGATCGTTTGGCAACGTCTGGATACACGTCTGTAGTTCTGACTTCGGAAATAGAAAAACACAGATGCAGGACTTTTCGATATGCTGACAGCTTCTGTGCACAAGCTGTGATCAGTCTGAACAAAGCACTTTATTGATCTTGCACTTGTTGAAGCTGTTTTTGTTGATCAGTTTCACAGTGACAATTAGTCCGGGTATGTTTGTGTGTTAAGTTACACTGTTGGGTCAAAGCTGTGGGGGGATTTTTTCCGAACCAGGTCTGTTGTGGATTTTTAAACTTGACCAAAACTGCCACCATTTTGTTCCAGCGCAGATCCCGCATGGTCACGTGACACGCTCCACAGCAGCAGTTCCAGCTGCGTTTGATCATGATTTGCGCAGACGCAGCAGAAAGCACAGGGTTTTATAATTTCCATTAGGAGGGGCAGTAGAAAATCTATTAGTTCGAACGGGAAAGATGCAAGGCCACACACTGGTCCGGACCCTTGAGGGACCAATCAGCATGCACAATATAGAGCGGGGCGAGTTGGTTGCACAAAAGTGTGGATTTGCAAATAAAAATTAAAAACTAATTACAAAGAAGAATAAAATCCCCCAAAAAATCTGGCCTTCCCTGACGGCTATGGGAAAGTTTCTTGTGTTGGCCATGAACATTTAGGTTGCCTTTGAGAGGGGCTTAAGCTCGCAGTATCTTATCCAGATACTAAAATAGATCCATGGGCTGGTGCTAAAATCAAGGCCAGATGTGTTTTTGATTAGCTCTGATAGCAGCACATACTGAGACCGGCAGCAAAATTTGTCAATTGGCGAAGACCAATTTCCCATAAGTGTAATTCCAAAAGCATGCCAATGAAGACAGAAGCATAAAATCACACATACACTTATCACTTTGACTTGCGGCTTAACTTATTGTCGGCACGGTCCACAACAAATATTAATATGAGCTGTTCACCAGACTGAGCGGGAGAAAATGGCTCCCCGAGGCGTTTTAGCACCGAGAAGAGAAATGGCTTTGACAGTGTAGTCTGTTCTTAATGATAGCAAAAACGCATCAATTTTCACACTCAGTGTAGCAATTACAAGAGGCTTTTGTAACAGCCGTGAAGAGCATATAATTTGAAACAGTCTGATTCCGAGGGCTGCAGGTGGTGCACGTGTTAGCGGCTAATTACAAAAGTTAATTATGTTCTTTTCCCCTGTAGGCATGGCCGTCTATACCAGCCCTGAGTTAAAGTACTATACAACAAATCGTCCTGTTTAAGTTCCCACAAACAGACCTGCAGTTGTCTCATTTCAATTAATTTCAATTTTGTAAAGCCCTAAATCACAGCAGTTGTTATCTCGGAGGAATATACAAAGCTGTTGATTCGCCAACACAGATCAGAGAATCAAACCGTTCAAACACAGGAAGTGCAATAATAAGAGACACGGTTAATGTTCGGCTAATATCCATTCATTTTAATAAATGCCGTTGAATTACTCAAAAACCAGTGCAAACACGTCCTCCCAACCCTTCTGTGTACATGCTCCTGTCTCAAACCCTTCACTTTCTTAGCATAATGGGGTGCTCATGGATGAAGTTTTGGTCCAACTCGCTCTGGCTCACTCTATTGACTCACATTGAAAAGTAAACACCTCTAGCTCAGTAGCCGTTTGAGTCACATTCACCATTTTAGGCTATAAAAATCTGTGGTTTAGTGCTCACTGCGATCCCGGTGTTTATATTGTGATGTTGTCTTTGTAAATCCAAACATGAGCAAATATGGATTGACCAATCAGATGCCTTTGTTTGCGGGTAAAACTCCAGCTTGCCTCAGCAAACATCTTAGCAACACATCCGTCCATGTTAGGCCCGCAAAACTAACACCATCGTAACAAATGCCCATATACCAGGATTGGCACTAAAACAGCTTGGAATGCAAGAGTTTCGTAGTCTGAAAGTGCCTGATGTAAACTGGTCACAGGATAGGAGGGTGGTCAGGGTTGAAGGACTCACCCACGGAGGAGATGTCTGTGTACTGGTCGTCCCCCTCCTCAGCTCCCATCAGGTCTCGGCCTTTCTTCACTTTTCCACGTTTCAACACTGAAAACAGAGAAGCAGAACCGAAGCAAGAGCAGCTGTAAGAAAACAATTGAAGTAACAGTATCCACTTAAAACAGCAGCGCAAAACATTATTTAAAGAATGGCTATACTCCAAATGTTCAAGTTGGAAAGCCTTTTAAGCTGCGCTACGTAACCTTCAAAGCACAGATCATGGAGCTATGTAATGAATCCATCAACTATTATCTCGCTCTCAGAACAGTTTGCTTTTATCACTAGTTTTCATGTCATTATCATATTCTATAGATCAGCTTTTTCAGACAGAATAGTGACAAAATGAGGACCACCCTCACTCAGTCAATCAACTCTCAGCCCAAAACGTTAACTCGTGACTCGCATGGCTCTGTCTTTACAAGTATGTGAAGGATAACATGTTTTTTAACAACATAAAGAAAGCTGGTCTGGTCTCTCTCTGGTCTTGACCTCTCTCTCTCTCTCCGGTCTCTCTCTGGTGTTGGACTCTATCTGGTCTCTCTCATGTCTCTCTCTCTCTCTCCCTCTCTCTGGTCTCTCTATCTGGTCCCTATCAGGTCTCTCTCTCTCTCTCTGGTCTTGGACTCTATCCGGTCTCTCTCTGGTCTCTCTCTCTTTCTCTGGTCTCTCTATCTGGTCCCTATCAGGTCTCTCGCTCTCTCTCTGGTCTTGGACTCTATCTGGTCTCTCTCTGGTCTCTCTCTGGTGTTGGACTCTATCTGGTCCCTCTCAGGTCTCTCTCTCTCTCTCTGGTCTTGGACTCCATCTGGTCTCTCCCAGGTCTCTCTCTCTGTCTGGTTACTCTATCTGGTCCCTCTCAGGTCTCTCTCTCTCTCTGGTCTCTCTTTCTGGTTCATCTCTGTTCTCTAATAAATAATGTAGACTCTTTCTGTTGGGAGAAACAACATGTGTTATTTATGACAAAAAGTCAAGTAACCCAGCTTTAACTAAAAAAACAACAATAAGTCTCATGTCATTTAGAAGCATCATTATGCCTGGAAGCCCGCGACCATTTGCAGCAGTGAGAGTACAGCCCTGATCCAGCCCCAGCAGCCATAGCTCCTGCTGCGTTCATCCGTGGCAGCCTGCTGGAATGGGGCTTGGGGCTGATGCTTCTCTGAATTATGTCATTTCTTCAGCTGATCCTGTTTCCGGCTCCGAGCGCGTGCAGTGAAAGCCTCGAGAGTGATTGAGAGCCATGTGACCTCCTTCAGACGAACCGCTCCTCGGAAAAAACACAGCTGCTAATACTCGGATCAAGTCAAGAACTGACAGAGACACGGTGACGGCGGTGAATCTGATGAGAGATGCGGCTGTGGGGAGTGAAGCCAACATGGTCCTTCTTCTTCTTCTTCTTCTTCTTTTCTCAGCTTTGGGTCAACAGGAGGCAGAAAAGGCTTCTCCAGGCTGGGAAATAATATAGTTGCTACGAGATGGAAGTCCCCTCACTCGCTGTCTCTCTAACAGTGGGTTTTAAAATATACAGGGTGAAGTTTATATTTGTCCCAACAGAAAGAGACTTCAAAGTGAAAGTAACATCGGACCACAACAGGCTGTCTTCATCTTATTTGTTATCTTTACTATAGTAGGAAAGATCCCTGTGAGTCACTGAAAAAGCTGTTCTAAAAATGTGACAAAAGCCATAAAAGGTCTCTCTCTGGTCTCTCTCTGGTCTTTCTCTGCTCTTTCTCTGGTCTCTCTCTGGTCTCTCTTTGGTCTCTCTCAGGTCTCACTGGTCTCTCTGAAGTCTCTCTTTAGTCTCTCTGGTCTCTCTCTAGTCTCTCTCTCTGGTCTCTCTCTGGTCTCTCTCTGGTCTTTCTCTGGTCTCTCTCTGGTCTCTCTTTGGTCTCTGTCAGGTCTCACTGGTCTCTCTGAAGTCTCTCTCTAGACTCTCTCTGGTCTCTTTCTGGTCCCTCTCTGGTCTCTCTCTAGTCTCTCTTTGGTCTCTCTCTGTCTCTCTCTGGTCTGTTTCTAGTCTCTCTCTGGTCTTTCTCTGTCTCTCACTGGTCTCTCTCTGGTTTCTCTCTGATCTCTCTCTGGTTTCTCACTGGTATCTCTCTAGTCTCTCTCTGCTTTCTGTATGGTCTCTCTCTGGTCTCTCTCTGGGTCTCTCTCTAATCTCTCCCGCTGACCCCAGTCCTGCTTCTGCCACTCATGAATAGGCCGATAATTATCCTCAGAACCATTCTATAGCCCTCTTCACAATGCAAACTTGAATCACCTCTGCTCTGGCTTCTGTGTGCCGCTAATACACTTCCTCCAGTGAAACCAATGGATGAGACTTGTGTATTTGCAGCTAGAGAAGTGTCCACCTGTGCTCTTGTGTTGGAGAGCCATTTGACTTGAACCAATTCAATCAGCGCAAGTGTAAATCTCCCCAATTAGCCATGAGCACGGCTAATGGAGCGAGACCAGGCAGGATTAGAGCAGTGAAAAGTGCCTCTCATGAACACACATACACACACACACACACACACACTTGGGTCCTGGCGTTACCTGGGAGTGGCCACGAACCGTCCATTGGAGATTTTTCATCCGCGATTTCGTCCTCCTCCTCCAGCAAAACCTCCTCTGAAACATAACACAAAACAAGATCAACTTTTAAAATCATTTATTCAGTTTTCTAGTTTCAATTGGATTTTCATTCTTAAATACAACCCATCCATCCAAGTTCAATCTCTCACTCCATCCTTCCGTCACCGTGAACAAGACATTGAGAGACTGGATCTCCATGAAGGAAATGTCGAGGGCAAGGCAACATTTTCCTAGTTAAGAACCATGTCCTCGGATGTGGATGTGATGTCCTCACCTCAGCCACTTCACACTCCACCTCCACTCACCGGGAAGGCTGAGGGGTGTGATCCCATGATAATTGGAACACACCCTGCAGTCCCCTGTCTGGAAGAGAGAGACCATCTCCCCGGTCTTCCACTCCATACTGTCCCTGAATTCCAATGGTATGTTGCAGAGACGTGACAACATCAAGAAACTTAAGATAATCAGGACAGATGTGACCCACTTCTGGAGCCTTGCCACCAACCTCAGGGACTTCAGGGAGATGGAAGTATACAACTGAAAAATCTTCAACCTTTGCCTCCATGACACCCTCAAATGAATCTATCCACCGCCAAACGATGTCCCCAGTCGAGGTCAGCATCTCTCCAGCGGCACTGTAAACGGTCTTGGCAAGGCACTGCTTCCCTCCCCTGAGGCGCAAAACGGTTTGCCAAAATCTCTTTAAGGCTGACCGAAAGTCCTGCTCCCTACTCTTCCCACTTCCGGCTTTTTGGCCGTGCTTTCCCTTGTTCCCCTGCTGGACCTGGACAGCTGCCTCAGGAGCCCCATGATCCATCTTGGCTCAGTAAGACACCTTCTTCAGCCGACCGCATCTCTAACTTCCTGGGGTCACCAGTGGGTTTGGGGATTGCCGCCGGGACCAGCACCAGTTTACGTTTGCATCGCTGTACTTAAAGACAAATTTAGTTCTACTTTAATAGATAACTCATCTTTTACTAAATACTAGTCTGATAAAAGCAAAAGTTTCCATTTCCTTCATGGCACAGCTTCATTCAGAATGTCTCCTCTTTGACTTTGTGAATGAATCATTTACTTTTAAAAGTCTGTGAATGCAGGATCACAGTGCTTTGAAGTCGAACTTGCAACATAATGTGTTGTTGTGGAGATTGAATAATTAAACAGGGAGCAGTCTGTGGAGGGATTTAAAAGGAGCGGATCCAGAACCTGCACCTGTGCACACTGTTTGACGGCCGTGAATTATTTCAGCCGACACAGAAGGGCGAAGGGCAAGAACTTCTCCGGTAACTCGCATTCACAAAGGAGCATGAGGAACCATAAGGACGCCTCAGAAGACTAAATCGTCTCGGGACTATATAATACTGCCAAAAACGGATCAAAGAATCGAACAATTGGAACACAGGAATTGCAATAATAAGAAAGACATAGAAGCCATTGGTCCAGCAGGATGATTACTGTCCATAAATGTTTGTAAATGTTAGCGTGAGGTTGTCATTTCTTTTGTTGCAGTGTCTTTGTGTAGCACTTTGATAAATAAAACGCTTTCTTTTCCTAAAATCGTTTGCCAAATAACGCTGCAATACTTCGCAAAACAGATGTTGTTTATCTAAGTTTAATTGAAACACCAGCGTTTTAGTGCTAAGGCAAAGTTATGAATCCTCTTGAAACACGTCTCAAGGACTGCTCTGCACAGATCTAGTATCATATATTCCTATATATATAGTATAGTATAGTACTTTGTGTGTACTGAGAAATAAGAATTGTATAAGTTTGTTGATGCATTCATTTTATATCTGTTTTTTAATACCTTAATACCTTATTTGCACCATTAGTCACAGCAAATTCCTAGTTTGTGATTGAATAATAATAACAATAATAGTGCATTGGTTTTATATAGCGCTTTTCTGGACACTCAAAGATGCCTCACATGTCGTTATTCTTTCGCTCCATACACTGTGCTGATAAACTATTACAGTAGCCACAGCTGCCCTGGTGCACACTGACAGAAGCGAGACAACCAGTATCTAGGCAATCTGGGTGAAGTGTCTTGCCTAAGGACACAACAACAGTTTGGCATTGTACAGCCATAGCCGCCCCACTGTGGCACCTGGTGTTCCCAAATGTCTCCCATCACAGTACTAACCAGACCCTGCCCTGCACAGCTCCAGAGGTCTGACAGGATCTGGCTTTTGCATGCAAGTAATTTTGAGTGCATATAGATTGGGGGCAAGTGGTTTGGGTTGCGTATGGGTACACGTTCGGTGGTACACGTTCTTTGTGGTCCATGTTCTCTGGGGTCTATGTTCTCCTTGGTCCATGTTCTCTGTGGTCCATATTCTCTGTGGTCCATGTTCTCTGTGGTCCACGTTTTCTGCGGTCCATGTTCTCTGTGGTCCATGTTCTCTGTGGTCCATGTTCTCTGTGGTCCATGTTCTCTGTGGTCCATATTCTCTGTGGTCCATGTTCTCTGTGGTCCACGTTTTCTGCTTTCCATATTCTCTGTGGTCCATGTACTCTGTGGTCCTTGTTCTCTGCGGTCCATGTTCTATGCGGTCCTTATTCTCTGCGGTCCATGTTCTCTGTGGTCCATGAAGTCTGTGGTCCATGTTCTCTGGTTGTACCTGCTTTACAGATCCACTCCAAGTATCCGGTGAGCTCCCTCTCGATCTGCTGCTGTCTGCGGAGCTTCAGGAACACTTGTCTCTTCTCTACACGCTCTCTCTCCTTCGCAAACTCCCTGAAAACACAAACACGTGGACCGTCAATGCATCTGATTCGCTCACGATCATTTTGAATTCTCGTTCCCAACAAGATGATCTACAACAAACAAGAGTTTGAAAATGACAGTAAAATTGACCACCTGCCACTGTTATGTGTCGGGCTGCAACAAGTTAAATTAACCACTTATTGAAGTAGTCCAAATATATGAAAGAGATTGAATCCGCCAGACCTGCTGGATTCCGTTTTTGTTACCATGTTTAAGAAATCCTTTAATCATCAATCGAGTGGGGAAATTTGAGTGTTGCATCACCAGGTACGAAACTATAAGAATGAGGAGCCCACAGCACAAGATAAGAGAACAATAACTCATACTAAAATAAAATAAAATCTCTAACATACTAAAGAAGTGAGTGTAAAATCTCTAGCTTTAGCATAATAATAACTGCTACACCACCTCTGCTGCTGTGACCTAAAGTTCTGTTGAATTTTAATACTCCTACTGGAGACCTGAATTTCTCCTACAGGGATAAAGCATCTATCTATCTACCTATAATCAAGAAGAAAGAATTAAGTATAAAATCTGTGACTGTAGCAAGTATAAAAAACTGTATAATCTAATGCATTAAATATACAGTTGTATGTATCCACAAGTACATGTTAGCAGCATGAAGGTCCGGAACAAAGAGAGTACGGTGACAGTGACACATGAGGTTCTATGCTGCACATTCTGACATTAGTTTAAAATATTGCACAGATTGCACAAAGGAACGGACAAGTAGTGAGCAGGCAAAACAGCGTTAAAGGGTTGTTTCCTAAAATGGCAGAAGCTGTGGGTGAGTAAGTCCAGCACATGTTTGTAGGTGCACACACACACACAGATCACACAAGTTCACTAAACCATTCTGTCAAACTTTACCTGCACCAATATAGACATGAAATACCCATAGACCTGTAATACCAAAAGGGCAACCCACTTTAATGTGCGGACCGCTTTACCGCTGCTGTTTTTCGCTGTTCTTTTCTGAAGGAATAAGACAACTTGCGGGCTGTACAACTGACGACAAAAATGGAACATTTGATTCTGTCCAAACGTCTAAATCTAGCTAACTCTCTAGCATCCAGGTAGCTTTCTATGCTGTTTTGCACCCGGTCACGTGACCTGCATGGGAAAAACTGTAAACAACAACGTCAATCCAAGATCCTCCTATAGGGGAGCCAATGATAGCTAGCTTGAACAGGCCTTTTGAGCGGGAATGTGGAGCCATATATACTGTATGCATAGTTTCTGGGAAGAATCAACCAAGCAACCAAGAGCCAATCAGGAGCGAAAGCAGTGTGTCCCACCATAACGGCATACAGAAGGACAAAGCTAACAATGTTATTGGTCAGTCGTCATATTTGGATTCACAAATGAATATAAACACAGGGATCACAGAAGGTTTATCACCTTTATCACCCACAGATCTTTTAAACCCAAAACGGTGAGTGTGATACCAACGCTTACTGCATAAACTTTGTCCATGAGCACTTCCCTATTGGGCTTCTTTGAGATAGCAAGAGTTAAGGAACTAATCCTTAACTCTTGATTCAAATACAGTACATGATATCTGTTCTGTGCTGGCAGTAAAGTCATCTGATGAATACGAAACATGTTTTTGACAATATCTGTGTCATCATCATCCCCTTTATTAGTCCATTTCTTGGTCCTCATAGTCCCAGCCCCTCACTGATCCTCCTGCAGGTGGCGGGTCCACGGGAAGATGGCTGCTCCGTCAACAGCCACCAAGACACAGCATTGGTGTTTTAGTGGGGCTTCAGGCAAAGTGGGGTTAAGGGTCTTGGCCAAGGACAAAAGGGGCGACAGTGGCTCAGTTGGTAGAGCATTGGCCTTTGGGCCCAAAGGTCGTGTGTTCAAGCCCACCACGAGACCTTCTTCACCGATTTCCACTGATGTCTGCTGTCGTTGTGTTCTTAGGCAAGACACTTAACCCCACTTTGCCTAAAAGGTGCGCGGAAGTGATGCTCGCTGCTTGCCTTGATGTGTATGCATCAAACTGAAATTTCCCCATTGTGGGACAAATAAAGGACCTTCTTCTTCCAAAACGACAGCAGACATCAGTGGGAGCAGGTATGGGTCGTGGGGGATCGAACCCACGGCCATTAGGTTCAAAGACCAATATGCTACCAACCGAGCCACTGTCGCCCCCAATCACAGCCTGCTCCAGGTCAAAAGAGATGGTTGCATGAATCACAGTCTCAGAAAGCGGAAAGGAAAGCCTAGAGCTCCACATATCAATCATGACTGTATTTGTTTGTTTACTCATGTCTATTTCGTATCTATAATTTCCTCATTCAGGGCAGACGGATTCAGAGTGTGCCAGGTGGTTCGGGTGATGTGGTCCCTTATTCTTTCTGTATATGTGCACATTTACTCAAGCTCTGGGTTCCATTTGTTATGGTTGTGACGGCCGCCGAGATATCCCTCTGGTCTGATTCTAATTCCAGCCAAATTATGGACCCGATATGGCTCTTAATGAGATTATCCAACTGAGATAAATAAAGTCTTAATCCAGAGTTCGGACTGTCGGGTGTCTGTTGTCGCTTATCATATTACTTTATTTTACTGTGACTAGAAAAGATCAGCGGTTATTTTCTGCTGTGTTGATTGTACTTGTTGTATGGTGTACATACCCAGACAGGACTCCCAGCACCAGGTTGAGCATGAAGAAGGAGCCGATGATGATGAGGGGGATGAAGTACAGCCAGTTCCACGTGTTCCCCGCCACGTCGTTGGTCTGCGGGAACAAAAACAGGACAAAAATGTGTTTACTGTTACCGTTTTTATAGATCTCAGTTAGAGCTTTGACACCATAGACACATCACTTTTAATCAAAATCCACAAAGGCCATACGAGTAGGTCAGGACCAAAAAGCTGACTTGGACCAAAACCAGACTCTGACCAAGTCCCAACCCCAGGCCCATATTTTCGCTGCATAGATCTCAATGTTTACTCCTGACTCATCAGCAGGAGGCCAGTCCCTGTGCTCCTCAGAGTCCCAGCAGGAGACCAGTCCCTGTGGTCCTCAGAGTCATGTTATTGTTTATATAGCAATAACATGTCTCAGATGTACTTTGGAGCAAGGCCTAGCAGAGACTTGTAACAAACAGAGCTGCTTTAAAGTCTATTCTGTGAGCCAGAGGAAGCCAGTGCAGAGACCTGAGAACTGGACTAATGTGATGGTAGTTCCGGGTTTTTGTCAGGACTCGAGCTGCAGCTGTTTTACAACTCGTTTGGAGAGACCAGTGAGCAGGCTGTTACAGTTGTCTAAAGCACTGGAGACAAATCAAGGATACAAATCTCCAATTTCGCAGATACTATTATTTTTTCTGGCAATATTCTAAAGTACAAAAAGCATTTGATTTTACTAACGTGATGTGGTTGTTAACGTGCAGGTCTGAGTCCATTATAACCCATTTCTAACATGATTTGTTAACATTTTCTCACAACAATTAAAACATGTATTAATTAAGACATCTGTATCTTACCAAACACATTTTGTTTCAACTAATTCCTCTGTTTTTCGAAATGTGAGCGTTCTTGTTTTTGATTCCAATTTAAACCTCCTTCTGTCCAATAGTTACCGACTATGAAAAAATCCAGTCACAATATAACGAAGAAACAGAGCATTTGTGACGGAAGCGTGTGAAGAAATGCATATTTATGGGCCGTGGATGACAAAACAAAACTTTTCCCTATCTCGGCTCATTAGGCAAGAAAGTAATTAGCCAAGGTTTGTATCTGGGAAACAGCTCATATCTCGTCGGAGCAGCTGTTCAGGACACAACACACGCACCGAACATTCTGCCAACTCCACCGACGACAGAACAGGGACCATTCCAAGTCCCCACACTTTAGGAACGTAAGCATCAGCAATATTTTTAAAAAGAGGATTTGTGCAGCCGCTTTAGCACTGATAGCTGTAGTACTGGGTCTGCAGCCTGAGTCTTGGATCAATAGCCTCAGTCCTGGATCTATGGCCTCAGTTCTGGATATGCAGCCTCAGTCCTGGGTCTACAGTCTCAGTCCTGGGTCTACAGCCTCAGTCCTGGATCTACAGCCTCAGTCCTGGGTCTACAGCCTCAGTCCTGGGTCTACAGCCTCAGTCCTGGGTCTACAGCCTCAGTCCTGGGTCTACAGCCTCAGTCCTGGATCTACAACCTCAGTCTTAGATCTTTAGCCTCAGTCCTGGATCTACAGCAGTTTTTCCTGGTCGAAGGCAGGGGTTGGTAATCTTTGTTTTAAAAAGAGTTGAGTTTCAGGAGCAGCAACATATATCATTATAAAACAACCAGATTTGATTATAGCTGAATAAACAAACTAGACTAATTGAAACTTCACTTTAAAACCATAAAATATCTAACACATTCCTGACTCTAAAAAAGTTATAACAAGTATTTTAATATAGTATAAAATAGAGAACAAGGATTATCCAGGACAGTTATTGACATTTCTCGACAGTGGTCATCCCGCTCCCTATGGACCAATGGCTCTTATGTGTTTGTTAATATTGCATTTCCTGTGCAAACTGTTTGATTTTCATATCTGTCGTTGAAGAATCAACAACTTTGTAAAGTCCTCCAAGACGACTGCTGCTGTGACTTAGGTCTATACAAAAATAAATTGAATTGAATTGATATTTTTTCAATAATTACTTTGTTCTGGGTGGTCATGCTAATGCTTAGGTCCACATCCACAGAACAAAAATCATTTCCCACTGCATCTATCCAAACAACTTTGAGCCCGTTATAATAAATCTTTCGAACCCAGAGGGACTATGGGGGTCTGAGGGAGACTGTGGGAGACTGTGGGGGGCGCTTGGATGAAGAGGTGTGAGGAGTTTTTCTGAAGCGCTGATATTCTGCAGACGCCGCGGTGCACAGACTGTGATGATCGAGGGGAGGCTGATTCAGCGACAAAGCCCAGATTGGACCCAAGACAGAGTGTAGTCCTGAGAGTGCCTTTGACAGACGACTTTTTCAAACTTTTCTTTTTGCCAGTGAAAGCCTGGTAAATAGAAGTGGCGGGGAAAAAGAAAATGTGTTCAGTATTGCAATATTTTACAAGTAAAACGACACAGTAGAGAAAAGTACTGCACTATTTAATCAAATAATTATCTGTGTCACTTTTGTGTTTTCTCTGAGTTCTCTCTGGTAGTTTCCATCTGAGGTTTATGGTCCTCTATGATGTCTGCTTTTTGTGACTCTTGTCTGTTGTGTTTGAATCATTTAAGTAAGTAAGTAATGTTTATTTATATACATTTAAGTGTTGAGCTCACCTAGGGCTGGGCGATATAAACGGTATAAGCGGTATGCGATATAAATTTGGCCCACGGTAGAGATTTTTGTTATACTGGCATATTGCGATAAGTCATTATGTCATCAAATTGCTGGACAGCTGCTCATATCAAGTGGGGAACCTATGGAGTCTCTACTTTGCTAAAAAATATTTCTCTAACGGTTGTCAATTTTTAGGAAAATGCCTAATAAGGAACGGGAGAAACGCTAGCATTAGCATTAGCTTGCGTAGCATCTGCGGCCACAGAGATAGCCGACAGTCCGCAGTCTTTACTTCGCTTACTTTCAGATACAATGCAGTATTTTTGTGTGGTATACGGTTGTAGTAGCCGAGGCAACAAAAAGAAAGAACTGTTAAATAAATAAATAAATGTTCTAATTGCAGCCCCCGCTGTTAGCTCACTCACTGCTGTTAGCTTAACGCTATTAGCTTAACGCAACGGAGCTAAGCTAATAGCGGAGCTTCTCCTGGAGCTCCGTACTTTTGGTTATTTACAGCTCAACAAATCACCGAAAAGACAATAAAGGATCAGATTTCTCGCTTCAAATGCTGTCTAAAGTAACATTTGTGCCATATTTATTGTGTTATTGATCAGAACTATCATCTCAGACGTGTATCTGTTGATCCCTGTTCACTATAACAGCCTTAATCTTTCTCATTGTTTAAAAAAATGGGCTCATTCAAACACTACAAAGCGTACGCTGCATTAAAATATTTTTCACTCATATAATAAGAGTGATACTAAGGCGCGAAAAGCTCCTTTGTCTGCGTTTTCCAGCATTGCCCATTCTATTTAATAGAATGGGCAATGCTGCGGACACATGTCCCACCCCCTTTTGGTTATGTGGTTGAAACCCAGAAATGCTGCTTGGAAGTTAAAGTTTTATAATGTTCTGTATAATTGGAGTTTTGCACAATACATTTAAATAAGTAACAATCTTGACTATTGCATTCAAGAACCTGCTAGACCTATATTCACACACCGAATTATACCGCAATATGAATTTTAGGCCATATCGCCCACCCCTAAGCTCACCTTTATGTGAGAGGTGGGCTATTAGAGAATACTGATGTCTTGTCTGTCATGAGGTCCTGAATGTTGAAGGATTAAGTTTTTGCAGTCCATGTGTAGACCATAATAAATGTGACATTTGAGTTGAGTTTTATTTTCCCCAATTTTTGTCATGTCTTTGAATAATATGAGGGTTGCAGTAAATCGCAGAATCTAATCGCACTAATGTTGAATTGTAGCCCAAATATCACAATACTATCAAATTGTCACATTTTTACAATTTCCCGACCCTAGTAACGGGGAGAGAATGGCAATCAGACCTGCCACCCAATCTTTATGGCACCAGCCCGTTGCTGATTCTCCTGCAGCGCCATCAAAGACACAGCCTTGGTCCTTCAACGGGGGCTTCAGGTAAAGTGGGGTTAAGTGTCTTGTCCAGGGACTTAATGACGGCAGACATCAGTGGGGGGATCGAACCCAAGACCATCAGGTCACTTCATAACTGCTGCTGTTCTCCACAAGTGACTTATCCTTGACTCAAGTCCAGAGTTTATCATTATTTTATTATCTATGATCTTACAGAACTTGTTTGATGTGCGAATAATCTCTTAATTCTCTTTCTATTCTGCAGTAATGTGCGCAACTGTGACATTGAAATTTTCCCACTGAGGGACGAATAAAGGTTTCTCTTATCTTATCACTTTAAAAGTCAATTTATTCACAAGGAAAGCAATACTCTGACAGTTTGAACAATTCTCATAACTCTTATCTATATGGTCATTGTTCATGTTGACTTTGTGGTTGCTATGGTAATGGATTTGTAATATTGCTCTAATCGTGTTATTTTTGGGAAGATCAAGACCAGACCCAGACCCAGATCAGGACCAGATCCAGACACAGACACAGATCAGACCTGAACCAAAACCAGACCCAAGACTACACCCTGAAAAGACCAAACCCGGACCAAGAAAAGACCAAGATTAGACATGAAGCAAGACCAAGACCAGACCCAAGACCAGACCCTAGACCAGACCCAGACCAAAACCAGACCAAAACCAGACCCACACCAGAACCAGACTTGGACCAAAATTCGTTCCAAGACCAAACCCGGACCAAGACCGGACAAGGACCAAACCCAGACCCAAACCCAAAACCAATTCCAATTACAAACCAGGACCAAGACAAGTATAGAGACATAGAGTAAATATGTCTCTATGCTTATTCTAATTTTCCTTTATCCCCTGAATATGTTTGAAACCTTGGGTCATAATCGCGTGGCCGGCCCGCAGAGGTGACCCGTGGTCCGTGCCTCCTCGAGGATCACATGTTATTTGCGGACCAGGGTGCGATCACAGCTACAGAACAACAGCCTCGGGCCTCTGCAACACATCTGAGCTCCGGATTCAGCTCATTACAGAACGTACAGGACGGTACAGTGTCCCTATGTCCATGTGAGCCCTCCCCCAGCGGCGCAACGGCAGGGGGTTGGGTAACGGCATGTGCAATATGAAAAGGAAATTAAATGTTTGTTAAAGAACTAAGCCACTTATTAATTCATGGGAAGGACAAAACCAGTTCCAGAACCAGGTCTATGAACCTGTATCTCTCCTCCCACTTATTTCTTGCATTGAAATATGTCTCTATATATATTCTCATATTTTGTTATACCCAGAATATTTTTGAAACCTTGAGTCAGAAATGCGTGGTGGTGACCCGTGGCCTTAGGGTTACCCGGTTTTGGAAAACATTTCTTTCTGATCAACATTGCAATTTTCAATGTCCTGTGTGTTTAAAAAATGTAATCCATGTCACTTGTTACTCGCTCTCGAAACAGTTAAGTTCAAGCAACATTTTTCACATGCATGTATGTTTGGCCTCTGTCGATCAGCGCTTTCAGACAGAAAATTCCAAAAGAGATGACCACTCTTTCTTAGGCAATCAGTTCTCAGCCCAAAGGATCAAATAGTGACTCTCAGGGCCCTCTTTTACGAGTATGCTGAAGATTACTTGTTTTCTAATAAGATGATGTGGTGGTCTGATTTGTTTCAAACATTTTACTTTGTCAAGATAAACAACATGTATTAGTATGTATGTAAAGGTTAGGTAGCCTAGCTTTAAGAGTCATTAAACTTGATGGCTTGACTTTTTACGTGTCTTTTCATGTATTAGAATGCGACATAATATTCATTTAAGATATGTGATGCAACAATTTTGCAGGGTAAAAATGCTGCCTGCCTGTAACTCTCTCCGCTACGACCAAAGTGAGGAGTAGAATTAGTGTTGGGAGAATCACAAGAGAATCACAAGTTCCTGCATTGACACGGTACTGCTCAAAAAAGCACTAATCAAACTGAGACAGAAGCTTTCAGACAAAAGAGCCAGACTTACATTTTTGTGCCACAAGTTCCTGATATTAGTGGAGGGATCTAAAAACAACATGTGGGTTGCAATTGTCTACTAATTCATATATTCTCACACTGCTCTGTACATGCGGCTGTATTTGTTCCAGTTCGGGGCGGGCGGCTGACATGCAATTACCCAATGCTTTTGCAGTCCATCTTCTTTCCTTCTTCTTTTTTTTGGACCAGCCTAGTTTAGCCGCTGTGGATTTTTGAATGCACTCGTAAATTGAATGAGCAAATGCGTTTTTTCACATTTTCCTGGGGGATGGGCTGCCCAGGGCCATTTTGAAACTGCCCATATAAGGGAAAAATGGTGGCACATTAGTTTCAATGGCGGAGATAGGCGTGACTGCGTCCGTTAATATTTACAGTCTATGATTTGACCCCTGTGAGTGTGTGTCCAAGAGAGCGTGGCCGGGCATATGGCACACGCCGCCAGCCTTTCTACGCTCTTCATTAGAACTCTACTGATGCTGCCCCCGAGCAAGACACTCCTAATGACCCCATATGGGCCCTGGCCGCGTGTGGAGAGGAGCAAAACGTGGGTAACAAGAAAAACACTGTAAAGTCTGGGTAAATGTTGTGAAATGTTGTGAAAAATTAATACTAAAAGTTTAATACGGGTTAGGGTTTGGAATGGATTATGGTATATATGGATTATAATTTCTTTTTTGAGGGACAGATGATTGTAGGAGGATGGTCTTTGGGTGAAAAACAGTAAATGTTTAATTTGACATTTATACAATTCTTACTACCAGTATAATGATTTTTTGAGTCTGCTATATTTATGCTGTATATGAATCTAAATATCCTGCTATTATGATCCATCTATTCTGATTCAATCTATGTAAATCAGTCACCTGACAAGTGACCAATCAGCAGTCTCCTGCAGGGACTCTGAGGAGCACAGGGACTGGTCTCCTGCTGGGACTCGGAGGAGCACAGGGACTGGCCTCATGCTGATGCCCAGAGTCAGGACTAAACATGGGGAGGCAGAGTTTCAGATTTATGCTGCTAAAATTACTGTGAGACTAATAAAGGTATAATTCATGAATTCAAATCTGGAACAGTCTTCTTGAAAATGTGAGACAGGATTCTACAATGACAATGTTTAAATAGGCAAGGCAAGGCAAGTTTATTTATATAGCACAATTCATACACAAGGCAACTCAAAGTGCTGAACAAGATAGCATTAGAATCATAAATAATCACAGAACATTAAAACGAAAGATAAAAATATAAAATCCCTCAGTTGTATGCACAGCTAAACAGCACCGTTTTTAACTTGGTTGTAAACATTGTCAGAGAGGAGGCCTGTCTCACATCTTCAGGAAGATTGTTCCAGATTTTAGCAGCATGAATCTGAAAGGCAGCCTCCCCATGTTTAGTTCTGACTCTGGGCACTAACAGGAGTCCAGTCCCTGTGCTCCTCAGAGTCCGGGCTGGTTCGTATGGTACTAACATGTTACTAATATATTTTGGTGCGAGGCCATGGAGAGACTTGTACACAAGCAGAGCTGTTTTAAAGTCTATTCTCTGAGCCACAGGAAGCCAGTGCAGGGACCTGAGGACTGGACTAATGTGGTCGTACTTCCTGGTTCTAGTCAGGACTCGAGCTGCTGCATTTTGAATGTACTGCAGCTGTTTTACAGCCTGTTTGGACAGACCTGTGAGCAGGCCATTGCAGTAGTCTAACCTACTGGAGACAAATGGATGGATAAGAATACAGGCTAAAAAAAAGTTCTGTTTAACTGTGCAAACCACTAAAGTATTGTATCTTTACTCTTTTTAATGTACTGTGATTATTTATTATTTGAATGTTTCTTCTCTTGTTTATGTTAAATAAACTTGCCTTACTATTTGATCTGGATTACACAGGTGCAGAGTGGTCAGACCAGTTTGGCAGCATCTCCGTATTATTCTTCTTTGTAAACGTACTTTTTGGAGGAGGTAGGCCACACGCCAAATGGGAATTACCGTCCAAACATTCTTTTTTTTATCACCAAAGATCATCACTAAAACACAAACTTTTGACCAGAGACTGAAAAGTAAGTAAGTAAGTAAGTAAGTTTTTATTTATATACCGCCTTTTCACTGCAGATCTGAGTCTCAAAGCGGTTTACAATTGTTAATTTTGGGCATTTGTCTCTCACTCCACACAGAGATGGGAGCAGGGCCAGTACAGGAGGCGCATGCCAGAACTATTGGACATATTTTTAGTGGTAGGGGAAACCGGAGCACCCGGAGGAAACCTACGCAGACACGGGGAGAACATGCAAACTCCACTCAGAAAGGCCCTGGTCCGACCGGGATTCGAACCCAGGACCTTCTTGCTGAGAGGCGAGAGTGCTATCCACTCAGCCACCGTGCCGAATCTTTGCCTCAGTGACTCATGGACAGAACCATCTTCCACATCCGAGCCCTTGTGCAGCAGCGACAGCACGCTCGCCCACTCAGCTCTTTTAAAAAAAAAAACAAAATACAACCTCACACACGACGCCGCGACTGAGAGCGGACGCGAGCGGGGGGTCAGAAGGTATGGGCAAAATCCATTTACAGCACATTTGCTGACAAAACACCACCACATGTCAAAGCTGCTGTTGAATTATTGCACAAAAGCAAACTGATAAACAGAGGAAATATTGCTGTTACTTTTTTTAGACCATGAAAAAATCCTTCCCAGGTGCAGGTCTTTTATATGATGTGATTTCTCGTTTTAATAACCAGAGCCTGTTTGTAAATGTGTGTCCAGTGTGACATCAAGATCTATTAATAGTAACCTCAGAATGTGCTGTTTTTACACACAGATTTAAAGAAAGAAAGAATAACTTAGAAGAATGACTAAACTTTTCAACCAAATAAAATCCCTGTCACTGGTTTCTTGCACAACAAACTGTTTGGATCCCACTACCTGTTTGGTTTTCTTGTATTTTTGGCCATTGTCACATTTCAAGAGATCCTCTGTTCCTTCGGCTGTCAGACTGTAAAACAAGCCTGGATGAGTCTTCTGCTGCTGGAGTCCTGAATTTCTCCAACAGGGATCAATAAAGTATCTATCTATCAATCTATTTATCTATCTGTATTTAGATCAGCCTTTTCTGTGTAAAAGAGAATCCTCACTCAACCAATCAAACCAATAATAATAATAATAATGCATTGGTTTAGTATATCGCTTTTCAGGATACTTTATGTCAATGTCATTATTCATTTGCTAACCTACTATTCTAGCCACAGCTTTCCTGGGGCACACTGACAGAAGCGAGGCCCCACCAACCATTCACACACACACCATACTCCACTTCATTTGGTTAAAGTGTTTTGCCTAAGTACAAAAAGAATTAGGACTTTAGGCACTTTACAGCCGCAGCCGCTCCCCTGTGGCACCTGGTGTTCCCAGAGGTCTCCCATCACAGATCTAACCAGGCCCTGAACAGCTGATGGGATCTGGCTTTCGCATGCAAGTATGGCCATAATATCGAAATCTTTTTATTAAGAAAAGTGTCACAACAAAACAAAGTTGTCATTTGTCATTCCAGATGGGGAAATAAAACCGATCCAAATTGAGGAGAATTAATCAGTTTGTGTTCTTAAAGCGTATGTTGACTTTTTCATTTGGAATATTTCTAGAACTGTTCCGTACCAGTCTCTATTGATGGGGGTGTTCAGTTCAGCTATTTTCTAGTGATGGATTTTTTTTACTCTTAGCCAAAAGAGCCCGCAACAACTTTCTGTCTCCCCTCCGAACCAATATCTTTCTTATATGTGTCCCCAGAGCACGGGTCACATCATATTTGACCTTTTCAATCTTTTAATCTTATAATTATTCCAGAAAAACGTCAAATAGTGCCTCACAGGGCTCTTTCTCAAACAGTTAACAAGTTTTCTGCTACATAAACAGGACTCTCTGTGTCACAAGTAAATTATACCGGCTGTATAATGTGTATGTCTTACTATCCTCTCTTGTAAAAGGCAATTCCAAGTCTGCACTGTTTTGGGATTTCTGGTTCGCTGGAGTGTTTTCATCAGAGTGGCTGGAGGAGACATTTGGACCGAGCCGTAATTGGCTGAGGGCATTAGAGCATCATTAGCCGGGGCTT